ATCAGGGATATGATTTAGGTCATACCTGAGTGGCCTAGTGCTTTTCCCTACCTTCTTCAATTTAAGCCTAAATTTTGCAACGAGAAGCTCATGATCTGAGCCACAGTCAGCTCCTGGTCTAGTTTTTACTGATTGTATAGAGCTTCTCCATCTTTGGCTGCAGAGCACATAGACAATCTGATTTCTGTGTTGTCCGTCTGGTGATGTCCATGTGTAGAGTCGTCTCTTGGGTTGTTGGAAAAGAGTGTTTGCTATGACCATTGTATTCTCTTGACAAAATTCTACCAGCCTGTGCCCTGCTTCATTTTGTACTCCAAGGCCAAACTTGCCTGTTATTCCAGTTATCTTTTGGCTTCCTACTTTAGCGTTCCAATCCCCCATGATGATAAGGACATCCTTTTTTGGTATTAATTCTAGCAGGTGTTGTAGGCCGTCATAGAACTGGTCAGCTTCAGCCTCTTCAGCACCAGTGGTTGGGGCATAGAGTTGGAGTATTGTGATGTTGAATGGTTTGCCTTGGATTCGAACTGAGATCATTCTGTCATTTTGGAGATTGTATCCCAGTACTGCTTTTCTTACTCTTTTATTGACTATGAAGGCTACTCCATTTCTTCTGCGGGTTTCTTGCCCACAGTAGTATACTGATGGTCATCTGAATTAAATTCACCCATTCCTGTCCATTTTAGTTCACTGATTCCTAAGATGTCGATGTCCAGTCTTGTCATCTCTTGTTTGACCACATCCAGCTTGCCTTGAATCATGGATCTTACATTCCAGGTTCCTATAGAGTATAGATCTTTGCAGCATCGGACTTTCCTTTCACCACCAGATACATCTGCAACTGAGTGTCCTTTCAGCTTTGACCCAGTCGCTTCATTCTTTCTGGCGCTACTAGTACTAGCCTTCTGCTCTTCCCCAGTAGCATATTGGGCACCTTCCGACCTGAGGGGCTCATCTTCTGGCGTCATATCTTTTTGCCTTTTGGTACTGTTCATGGGGTTTTCATGGCAAAGATACTGGAGTGGGTTGCCATTTCCTTCTCCAGTGGATCACGTCTTGTCAGAGCTCTCTGCTATGACCTGTCCGTCTTGGGTGGCCTTGCACGGCATGGCTCATAGCTTCGTTGAGCTATGCAAGCCCCTTCACCACAACAAGGCAGTGATCCATGAAGGAGAGATCATGGTAAAAAACCACAAAAGATGGTAACAAAACATGCAGAGTTGCTTGTTGTTTTGTATGAATACAGTCCAAGAAAAGGGATCTTGAGGTTGTGGAGGAGAACGGAAAGGAAATGTTGACACAGTTTGCATCTCCTGCAAAAAAGGCAAATTCCATAAAAGGAATGAATAAAAAAATAAAACCCTATCATGAATCTATGGTGTGACCTCACAAAGGACATTGTAGAGTTGGGAAAATGCAGAAAAGGCAACTAAAGTGTTCAAGAGACTGAAGCAATTTTCCTGTAAGGTAAGAGTACAAAATCTGGGATGGTTTAGGGAAAAGTAAGTGAGGGTGAGATGCACAGAATTATGCATGGTATGGAGCAAGTGGACAGAAAAACATTTTTCTCCCTCTTTTATAGTACTAGCAGCTGGGATTGTCCAATGCAGCTGATTGGTGGGAGATGCAGAACAGTACATAGACTGGAATGCATTATCTCAAGATGCCGTGAAGGCCACCAAGGAGATTAGATAAATTCATGGTGCCTCATATGATCTTCCCAGAGCTGAAATAATTATGTACAAGTATGAAGTGAGAGAGGTCAGTGGCTAGACATGTTTTCCCACCATCACTGAGACTATTCTTGATAGTTTATAGCCAACCTTTATGAAAGAAATTGCCTCGGAAGGCCTCACCACCCATGGGAGGTAGGACGTGTTTCCTGGGATTTCACCTTGTTCAGGAAATTACTGATATCATCATCATCATCATCATCATCATCATCATCATCATCGGTAGTAGTATTACATTTTCATATTGCCCATGGCCAAAGCTCTCTGGGCAGTTGACAGCAATAATCATAGAATCATACACTCAAGTCACCCATCCCACTTCTGACCAGGCCTGACCCTGCTTAGCTTCCAAGATTAAGCAGGATCAGGCACTTCAGGTTACATGGAAGCTACAATATGCCATGTACAACATGGAGTACTGGTCACATAAGGCCTGAGACTGGTACCCACACAGCCGGACACCCCAAGTACAATAGCAGGAATGCTTGAAACAATGGGGTGCCCGGGGCTGCCTGTTCTGTGCAAAACAACATGCTTTAATGCAAGGGAAAACAATGTATAGCTTTCAAAGAAGTGCACCACTGATGCACCTTTGGAAAAATAGGTATGAACATGAGCATGGACTTTGATGTAGAAAGAAAGAAAAGGTTCTCCTGAGTCTGGACAACTTCAAGATTGCATTCAGAGAACTTCAGCAAACTCACGTTTACTGATTTACACATCCTTAGACCTGGTTCAGCACAAAGTAAGCAAAATAATACACATTGTCCTCCAAAGTGTGTGGCTGGGTGAGAGAGACCATTACGTTTTGAGTCCAAAATGATCTAACTAGACCACTGAACCCAGTGCCCATATTTTACCATTAACGGACATGAAACTGTGGCAATTGGATCCTTGTTAGGGGTTAATGCAAGCAGACTGGCCAGAATTCAAGGTAATCAAAGACCTGCAAGGATTAACATTATTTGGGGAATTAGAGATCCAGTCTCTTACAAGCTTGGCTTAAAGAAAGGAGAAGGAGCAGAGAAGACATACAAAGTAGTGTGTGGTTCGATACCAGCCTAACATGGAAACTGAAGCCGAGATGGGTGAGCGCGTCAAGGTGGGTGATAATCTGTCAGACTGATGATGCCCACTTTATTGTGTGAATATGCAAAAAGGGAAAGTGAAAAATAGATGTGTCCATGTACTACAGGAATTGTTTGGGGTTTATTTGTTTTGCTCAGATATCCACCTATTCCTCTCCCTTTCTCTCTGTCCCTCAGCATGCTACTACTGAATAAACAAGAGTTTCACAGACCCCTTCTGAACAAATAGTACATCCAAGTCTCTTCTCTGGTTTGTCCTTGTTTGCCTTTGTTGAAAGGGCTTTTTTCCAGTACACCAGTTGCATTTCTTTTTATCCCAGAGGAAACTCCAGGGTGTGTTAAATTTCAGGACAGAGGCTACTTGCTTTACCGCTCACAGCATCTCTGAGGTATGAATAGCAATAAAAGCATAAGAACATTGACGTGAGGGAAGATATGGGGAGAAGGTAAGTCATTTTCTATGGGCAGGAAATCCAATATGGGAATGTTAAAAAGAAATCATTAATAGGGGCTTTCAGTTGGTGAAGAAATAGGCAACTTGTGTGGCACAAGGAATATATGCTCTTGCATGTTTGCATCTCACCTGCAGCCATAAAAGCTCATGTCCTATTGCTTTAATCTTCTTTTAACTGACAGTGAAGATACTCAGGCTTCTTTCTAATAAAAGTCTTCAGACTCCCTGCAGCTAGTGAGTAACATCCTGTCAAATCCTAGGCTGGAGATGAGTTGATCTTTTATTTTCGAACCAATGGATCAAGCAATTAGAACAGTACTGTGGTATGAATGCTCCAAATACAGTTCCCTTGATCTCAGAGTCCTCTGGAAATATCCCTAATAACTGAGCAAGCAGACATTGAGGGGGGAAATGGTGCTAAGGCAGATTCTTAAATAGGTCTTAGCATGAAATTCATAGGAAGTCTGTAGGATAGGATAGTGGGGGTGTTGTAGAACACCGAACCCCTTTCTTGAAGTCAGGAAGCAGACTTCAGGCCAGGAGCCAAATATGGATCTGCTGGAGCCCCTTGCCTGACCAGCTTCTTTCCCCACGGCAGCTAAGTGCTTGATGCCTTCCTGGATATAGTACAGTATTTCCCCATTCTAAAAGGTGCAAATCCTTCTCCTAAGAGTGGGATGCCCGCAGAAAGAGCTTGAGGCTTCAGTGTGCTGGTCGTTTTGCCCTGCCCTGCCTTGCCCCTCTTTATGTTTGGCCTCACCCACTCATTGGATGTATTCCCCCATGAGCCTCTTTAAATGGGATGCGGCCCTCCTGCTGAGAAAGGCTCTGCACCCTTGCCTTAAAGAAAGGATAAGCAGTTCCAGGCAAGTCACTGGCTCTGGAAAGCTGCCAGCGCTAGACAGCAATGGTCCCTGGAGACTACTCTGTTTTGGCTCAGTCGCACTGATGTGCCATTGGCAGGTAGTGTCCAGGATGGTTTCATGAAGCCTTTAGCGGAAGTGTGATGCAAACACACTTTTGTGCACCAAGCTCTTACGAACAGGGGAGGAAAGCTCATGCTAAAGTGGAGAAAATAGATTTATAATATGCGTTAAGGTCCATAAAGCATAGCCTTTCAAATAGCGTTTTCTGCTCAACACATGTGTGCATGCCAAAGAGAAAAATGGCTTGATGAGTGTCATCAGTTCCTTTGTGGGGATTGGGTTCATTAGCTCTGCAGAGGAACTTCAAAGGGTCATGAAAATAGATGCTGATTCAGATGAAGAAGAGTATGGAGAAGGGGAGAATGAAGAGCCAAAGGCCGGGGAGATAAGGGAGGAGGGAGTAGAAAGTCAAGGTGTTTCCGAAACCATGGGAAACCAGAACTTTTCTGAGTGCAGATATGACAACTCCAAAGATAAGACTTCAGTTCAGGAGAGAAGTCCAGTGAAGAGTTATAAGGCTCTGCAAAACAAGGGACCACCTCGAAGGCTTGGTTTTGAGATGTTATTTAGGCAGACCAATGGGATCAATTATCTACCTGGCCATGTTGCACTGAGAATTTGCTTCTTCTGAATTTGAACACAGCTTCTTTCTTTTGTTGATCTCTGCAAAATCCAAACTCAGTTGTTCTTGTTTGCAGTTTTACATAATAAAATTAGTTGAGTATAAGAACTGTTCATTTTTTAAACTCCAGAATGGAAGAGAGAAATGGCCATAATAATATTGTCAGAGTACATATTTTTAGGCCTCTGGAACCAACACGGTTCATCTGAAAATAAAACCTGGACAGAGAGGCTCAGGACTAGGGTGTTTTCCTTTGACTGCAAGCACAGTTTGAATTAAACTTGATAACTTTTCAAAGGAGCTTTCTGGTGGGTGGTGTCTGCTCCCTGTGGGACCAAATCAACCTTTCAACTTTGAAATGGCAACTCACACAGAAGGCTCAGTTCCTTGAGCAATGAAGGGTGGACCTAGCAGAATATGCTGCGTGATGAGTGGAAATCGTCTCTGGACTAGACGGGCACTTTACCAAGGTGATAGTTTCTCCCCCTGGATGTACAAAGCAAATGTGTTGGTCAAACACCTAGACCAGGGGTCCTCGAACTTTTTCAACAGGGGGCCAGCTGAAAGGCGGTGACGGCGGGCATGGGCCGGTGAGGCGGTGGTGGCGGTGGGTGTGCACGCGTGCGGCAAGACAGCAGTGGGTGCGTGCAGTGAGGTGGCGGCTTGCTCGCTCGGAGATCTCCCTGCAAGTCCAAAATGATCTCCGAGTGAGCAAGCCGCTGCTGCACCGCAGGTGGCGGATGCAGGTGCGGGGAGTCCAAAACCTCTGAGGCAGGCCAGATAAATCAGCATGGTGGGCCAGATCCGTCCTGAAGGCTGTAGTTTGAGGACTCATGACCTAGACCAACAAGGCAGGACTCTAGCCCTGGAAAAATGGGATAGGCACCATGGAAAGCAAGGAATGGTGCTAGAAAAAGAGCGTGAGAAACCATGGCAGAAGCCAAATGGACCCAAGCAGAAAGATTTTACAGAGCAGTTATATCATAGAATCACAGAACAGCAGAGTTGGAAGGGGCCATGAAGGCCATGGGGTCCACCCCCCTGCTGTTGCAGGACCCCATGTTGCACCATCCCACTCAGAGGGCTGCCCAGTTTCTTTTTGAATGTCTCCAGTGCGGGAGAGCCCACCACCTCTCCGGGCAGTGAGTTCCTCTGTCACATTGCTCGTAGGTAAGGAAGTTTTCCCTGATGTCCAGCCTGAATTTGGGTTGTCGCAGCTTGGACTGATTATTCCTTGTTGTACACTCTGTCATCTACAAGAAGAGATATGGGTCTAAGCAAACAGTACAAAGAACTGCATGGCTGAAAGACTGTACCCAGGCTGGGCCCTACCAAAGGGCACACTTGATTGGCTCCAGGAAATGAAAGAAAAGGTCAGGGAGGTACCTTACCCTTGTCTGACTCTTATCTGACTAGCTCCACTCAGCAGCTCAGCAAACCAAAAGTTATAATTCAGATCAACCAGGTTGTACCTGAGCTCATTAACCTATTTAGGAGGAAGGATTGCTGCAGGATTAGGTCATTTCCTTGCCAGGGCTTGGAACGAGCCAGTTCTTGGGTTCCTTAATGGGGTGGCGGCCCCAGCACTCAGATAGGCATTTACATTTTCTGTGGGTACCAGGAGAAAGTCCCTTTCAACTCATCAGTGAAAAAAGCACCCAGCGATGTTCATCCCTTGTCTCTCACCCTTCTGTGGCTGGACAGGACTGAACGGATGCTGCTGGCAGTTTGCATGATGCTCCTTACCAGGATTCTTGAGCCAGAGTATCAGCCTAATGCCAGTGAAACACATTCGGCTCAAGTCCGAGGGGCAGCAGGCCTGGCCGTCTGCCGTAGCATCCCTCGGTGTCAACCACAGCTGAGTAGAGAACATCATGGGAGCTGCAAGGCGCTAGTGACCCTCTCAGTGGCCAGATGTTCCAGGGGCAACTTTGCTTAGGTTTGGCTTCCTGTGGAGGAGAGGCTTCCGAGGACTTGTGGCACTTCTGTGATTCCATGCTATCTACAAATATACAAGCAGAATATACCTGGGGGCTAACAGGTGGTACTACAATAAAAGACCCCATCGGCTTCCCCATGCCAATGCCCAGAAAGGGCTCTGGCAATGCCAAGATGCCTTCTGCAGCACCCTGCCCCCACTTCCTCCTTTTCAAAACTAGGAAATGTGGGTCCTTTGCACGCGGGTCCCCCCTAGTGAGGGAGCGCCCTTTCCCCTGTGCACTGATGAGCATCTCTTTCAAACACCAGGGAGAACCTCCAGCTCTTCGCTCATCTCCACTGTCCAGTAGCGGCTATTAACCTAACAATACCCAACTGGGATTGGATGCCATCTCACAGCTTTTCAGGCGGCCCTAAAACCATCCCACTTCCGAACAGTGGATGTAATTGAGCCTGGCTTAATTTGAAAGGAAGCTGCCCTCCGTCCTTTCTGTCCTCGCACCCACACAGCGCACAACACCACAAAAGGAGCTGTAATGTCAGTTTCCCTAAACGAAATAACAGCAAATGATTTCTTGCTTCGGAGATGATCTTAAATGCCTCGCCTGAGTCCAGAGAAGTCTGTGTGTCATGTGCGTGCACGGAAGAGCAAAAGTATTCATAGGCTTGGCATAAAGAATGGCCACCATCTTATTAAGACTCTGAAGAAGTGGCACATGGGGAATAATGATTATACTCCTTGGAGGGCATCCTTCCTGTCTCAGTGCTTTCCATTCCCTTTCTACTGGGGAAGAATGGCTGAGAGGCACACACTGGGATAGGATCATTTTAATATATCTAGGAAAATTTCTCTGCAGAGAAGCTGTATTCAGGGACAACAAATTAATGATGCACTGGCCCCATAAAGCGTAGCTAACTGTCAAACTGTCATAGAAATGTTCTAATAATAATAATAATAATAATAATAATAATAATAATAATAATAATAATACCCACTACTCTCTTTCCTTGGAGTAGAGGAAATTCTGCTGCAGGCATGCTAAGGAGTTGCATACAACCTTACAAATAATACAGTGTCATTAGTGAAACTTGTACAGACCCTCAGTCGATTTTATCAGTTCCAAAGTATCCATCCATCCACCCACCCACCCACTCAGCCACCCACCTGCCTGAGGAATTCACTGTGAAGGGACCTGCTGGAACACACAGGACTAGTTTCATTGTTTCACTAAACGTACTGATAACTCTACAGAGTTGACGCATGATTGGGGAGGGGGCAGCTTAGTGGTTATGACTTCTAATAGAGGGATGGGAAACTTGTCAAATTATATACTATGAAGCAAGCCAGCAGATATGTAAGGTGCCATGGGGGAGGGAGGCTACCCCAGCATTCCCGAAGTCTCCTGAGGGCCTTCAGAAGTTACCTGTCTTGTCTAGCCATTGAATTTGGTTGTGGTGCTTGGACCAAGATTAAGTAAAGTTCCCACGTGCCCCTGGCATTTCAGATGTCAGGATCTGCAGCATGGTTCACCCCGCAGGATCAGGATGAGGCCTGTAGGTACTTGCAAGGATGGCAGCTGGCAGACCTATGCAGTGCAGCTGGGAGCTGCGGAAGGCGCTATAAAGGCTTCCCTGGGATGCTCAGCTTGGCACAGCAACATGGACCTGGGTGGTAGTTGATTCGTATTTCTGATCCTGCCACCTCGCCTCGCCTCGCCTCGCCTTAACTCCTGCCTGCTCTGGACTCTGTGCTTGCCCCGGTATGATCTCACCTTATTAGCTGCCAGATCCTTGACTTTGTCTCTGGACTGGCCATGCCTTGTCAGTATCTGACCTCAGCTTCTTCCTGGCTCTTTTCCACCTCTGAACGCACCATGCCTTGCTGGGAATTCGTTCCTGCTTTGCCTTTCCCTCTGTCCCCAGTGTATGGCACCAAGATCTCCATCCATCGCCATCACCTCTGGTCCTGGTGCTCCAGCCATAGAAACCTGCCTCCTTTGCCTGGATCCTTTGCCTAAGGCTCACTTCTGATTTGCCTTTTATTCGGTAGCAAGTCTTATAGAGTTCCATGCAGCTTATTTCCAGGTAGGGAAACTACCTGGAATCTGCAATCTGACTCAAAACCACTCCCGCCGCACCCTTCATCCAGTTGGCACCCTTGGTGGGACTCACACTTTAAAAACTTAATGCCAGTTTTTAAAGTAGCTCTTTAAAAATGTTTTATCTGCTTCTTTTAAAAGGGCACAAGGACTGATACAAGTCACAAGGAAGATTGCACAGCAGATTCAAACAGCATCATGAAAGGAGTTAAAAAACCCTCCATATTTTCTTGTATAACCAAGCTGAAGGTACTTTGTCAATTCCAACTCCTTTGCTCCAGCTGCTTCTATGCTGATCACTCAAGAAAGTTTCTGAGCAGCGAGGAAAGCGTCTTTCCCTAAAGCCAATAGATAATCCTGAGAGCCATTGCGAGCTGAGCATGCTTTTGAGCATCTAGGGACGAACTCTGCTCAGCTTCCCTTCCAACATGCTGCTTGTTCTGTGTAGTGGTGTTATGATGGAGGCATCAGGCCAAAAACAGGACACAATTGACTATCCCCACCTTAGCCCATGAATTCCAATGTGTGCATTCCAAGAAAACAGGTGCTGTTGCCACAACAAGTGAACATCACCCCAGATTTGAACAAGCAAATACATTTACTCCACCCAGGGATGGCTTCCCAGCCTTCCAATGTTAATTTTGCTCTATCTCAAACTGACATTCCTGAAGAATTTTTCCGGTGTTAAGGGTGCAGTTCTGCAGTCCCCTCCTGTGTTGCATGCCCACCTCTAGACTGGGAGGAGAATGTGCACCCAGTCTGTCACGCGTGATGCGCAGCAGCGACCTTCGCCATCCAAGGGCATGTGCCCTGCACTTATGGCTATTTCCAGCCATCAATGGGATGCCGCAGAGGGGAGGAGAGAGGCGAGGGGGCCATTGGGATGCAGAGCAAGCTGTTGGCTCCAGCCTCCTACCCTTCCTGACCCCTGGTATGCCTACCTGCTTCTTCTCCCAGGCCAAATTCTGACCTCTGGGTGGCAGCCAATGCAGGTTTTTATAACAGCTGTGAGCAGATTGGGCAGGCTTGCAGATTCAGAGACCCTGCTCTGAGCTCATAGGCTTGCCTTGCATGTTGAAAGTGGGAAATGAGGTGAATTGAAATGGGCATTTCTCCCTTACCCTGTAACTTTAGTCTCATTTAGGATGTTTTATTGTGTTGTCTGTTTTGTAAACTGCTGTAAGCTGCCCAGAGAGCTTTGGCTAAAGGGCAGTAAACAAATGAAGATGATGTCATCATAACGATGATGTCAAAATGCTCATTCAATTGCTTTGATATATATATTGACATATATTCTTCTTCTTGCATGTCAAAGTCCCCTTCAAAATTAACTTTTGAAAGCTGGTAGGGTAGTGAGAGTGTGGGACCAGAAACCTGGGAGATCCGGGTTCTAGTTCCCACTCGGACATGAAGCTCACTGCTTGCCTTTGCGCCAGTCCATAACTTACCTTGCAGAGTTGTTGTTGCGAAGATAAAACAGAGCTATGTAAGCAGCCTTGAGTTCCTCAGAAGGGGGAAAAGGTGGGCTGCAGATGTAGTAACTCCGCTCAAAATTGAAGGTGTTTGATGGAACAGATCACAAACCTGTCCAGTGCAGCATAGATCTTGCACCCTCCTCTGCAGGAAAGCTTTGTCCACAACAGTGATCTGGATCTAACCGGGCATCCCCTTGCAATTGTCCTTTTTAAAAATATACCCTTACAATGATACAATTATACCCTCTCTTTCTTCCTTCTGCAAGGAAACCAAGGTGACTTATATGGTCCTCTTCTCTCTGTTTTATCCTCACAACAACAACCCTGTGAGGTCGGTTAGGCCAAGAGTCAGTGGCTGGCCCAAAACACCCAGAACTAGAACCCAAGTCCCCTGAACGGGCCCAAATGCCACCCCGTCCATGACTGCCTCTTCATTTTCCCCTAAGGGCATCGTGCTGGGGATAAGCAGAGACATAGCAGGGGTATTAATATTTTGGGAAGCATGGTTGCTTTTTCCTTCCTCACACTTTCCTTTGCCTGGGGCCCAGCCTGCCACTGGAATTCTCCCCTGATGGCTTCTCCAGAAAAGGAATTTGGCTCCCCACCTGCAAGCCATTCAACACCTCTAGGCTTCTAGGTGTGTTGAGCCGCATGTGAACTATAGGCCAACAAATGCACCCGAGCCCTTCTCCCATCCTCACTCGGTTCTAAGTGCATGAACACCTGAGCAGGGCTCATGTAATCCGTGAATCCGGTTCTTCCAGCAGGATAGGGCATCCCACTTCTTGGCTCTGCTCCTTTCCCTCCAGGGCATAGTTCCTCAGTGCAAGGTGGAGGGTGCTTTCTTTATCAGATTTCTCTAAGGGAATCACGTGGCTCCGTTAGATTGTCAGTGCAGGCATTAGTTCAGGAAGCGGAACAAAAGAACAACTTGATTGTGTGCAGGATGCCAGCTCCCTCTCCACGCTCTGCAGACTGAACTAAAAGACTAAAGCTAATTTCTAATGAATTTCCATGGCTTCCATTTGTAGGCTGAGATTAAATCTGATGTTGTTTTGCCTTTGGTGTCTAATGAATCAAGGTTTAGACTCACGACTGGCAAGGTCAGGGAAAGGGAGCAATTGCACAGATACACACCTACACACGACTTGTCAGCCAGCAAGGAAAAAGTGGTCCAGCTTGACTGTAGATATGCCAGAAGGAAGATGCAAGTGCTGAGAAGGATAACATTTTAAAATGGTGCTCTCGTTTCAAGGGTCTCGCTTCGTAGATGCTGGGCTGAGCACTGAGCTGGGCTAGACAAGCCCCACAGGATCTTCTGCCTCTTTGATTCTATTGCCCGGTGCTTGTTTAGTTCCTGGGTTCATTCTTTTCCAGGTGTTTCTGCTGGCATTGGCTTTTGCCTACGTAGCCAAGACCATGTCTGGGGCTTACGTGAACAGCATGCTCACTCAGATCGAGCGGCGGTTCAACATCCCTGCCTCGCTGGTTGGAGTGATCAATGGAAGCTTTGAGATGGGTACGTGGACAGAGAAGGTTAAGTGTTGACTCGAGGTGCCAAGTGAAGAACTCCGTGTTAACACAGGCGATTCAAAAAAAGAAGTGGGGAGGCAGCCCACACTGTGCTTCCTGACACTGAAGTAAAACCAACCTAGATAAAGCACGGATCATGTAAAGCCCTGCTTCTCACAGTTGTTATTGAGTATAATCACCATGGGACCTTGCCGGGAATAGCTGCCTGCCACCAACATTAAAACAGAGAGGTGCCTGGAAAGGCAAAGTGGAACGTACAGAGCAAGAAATAGTCATTCACAAAACAGTGGGTGATTGTTTGGGGGCCTTGCCAGTACAGGGCTGTTCATTGGTCTATACAGAACCTCAGGCAAGGAGCTCACTGGTAGTAAAAGACCATTCAGCAAAGATCTGGAAGGAGAATGGAGGATTCTATGCCCGCACTGCCTATAGCCAGAGGAGGATGGTGACATCAACACCAGTGGGTGATGCATGGCATCTTGTATTCTGAGCATCAAAGAAGCTCTCCATGGTGCATCCATAGAAACAGAGCAAGACAGAAGGGACCTCCTGGGCCATCTAGTCTGACCCCTGGCTTCAGCTGGCTCTGCTCATGACATGCCCACCATGTGCATGTCCAGCCTATCCTTGAACACCCCCAGCGATGGGGCCTCAATTACCTCCCATGGAAGCTCATCCCATATCCCAGCGGTCCTGTCAGGAAGGGCTTCCTGGCATCCAAGTGGAACCTGGGTTCCCTGAGCTGTGTATCCACAGTTCTGTCCCTGCAGTAGGCCCACTACCACGGAGCACCATGCATGGCTCCTGCCATTGAAGCTACAATGAAGAAGGGGCCCCACTGACATGAGTGTCGCCCACCTCCCTTTGCTTCTAGGGACCACCCTCATTTGGTGAGAATAGTCCAGGCTCAACGGATGTGCTGCCCTACTGATTCCTGGCCTATGACTCACTCTGCTGGCTAAGGCAGATGGGAGCTGTAGGCCAAAACATCGGAAGGGTCACAAGATAGGGATGCGCGAAGAATCGGCACAAAACAGTCTTCTGCTTGGGTGGGAAAATCTGCTGAATTCCCTGGTTTCAGCCTCCAGGACTCTGGACTGCTTTGCAGCAGCCTGGAAGCCAAGTTCCCAGTGAGTGCGCCCTGGGCTTGTGGGATGCTGGCCAGGAATCGACAGTGGCTCTTCCATGTGCACCACTGCCGATCAGCAGCAGCAAGTGGAGAAGAAGGTTGGCCACCAAGATTAGTGGCTGGGGACGTCTTCCGGGTCTCCGAATGATTGCAGACTTCCTCCAAGTCCAGCTTGCTTTGTTAGAGAGGGACAAGCACTGGAAAACGTCTGATGGGCAAGTGCGGACTGGATTCTGGAGACGCTCGGCACATCCCCAGTGTAGACCCAGCAGGGCTTCTGTCGATGAGTGTCCCGATGAGGTGTGGGTCTGAGCGGATGCCCAGCCGTACCTGACTTGATCCTGGCCCTGGGCTCACCTCAGATGATGGGGGAACATCTTAAAGCATGTCTGCGTCCTCGGGCATGAAGGATTCTCAAAGTCAAAGCAGCATTCTTGGAACAGTCTGGTCTGAGATATAGGGACCACTGTCACCTGCTCGGAGAGTCTCTCTCTCTCTCTCTCACAGGGAGAGTATTCCTGAGTCCATGAATCCCTTGGATCTGAGAGGAAATGCAACTCCCTTCCAAGATTGTGGGGCAACTTTAACTTGTGCTTAGGGCAGCCAGACAGCTCCTATGGACTCTGCTTAGTTTTCCTCCAGAAATCCATGGGGCTCAAAGGCAGATACTTCTGGCTCAGGTTTGATATATGTCTTCACTTCTGCAGGTAACTTGTTGGTGATAGCGTTTGTGAGCTACCTGGGAGCCAAACTCCACAGACCACGCATGATCGCTATTGGATGCATAGTTATGGCTTTGGGGTGCTTTTTGATAGGGCTGCCTCATTTCTTGATGGGAAGGTAAGTTTGTTTATTTATTTAAAATATTTATATGCCATCCTATTCGCAAAAAAGCCTCAGGACGGCTTACAATGTAAAATATAAATAGCATAAATAAAATTCCCAACCCACACTGGCTGCAGTTAAAAACATAGAAAAGACAATATTAAAACTTATTAAACTATCGCTGGAATAAAAAGGTCTTCACCTGGCACCAAAAAGCAAACAATGACGGCACCAGGCGGACCTCTCTGGGGAGCGTATTCCATAGATGGGGCGCCACCACAGAGAAAGCCCTTCTCCGGGTACTTTGCCTCCTAATATCTTTCACGGAGGGTTCCCAGAGCCTCTGCTGCTGATCTCAAGGGGCGGCGGGGCAAATATGGAAGAAAACGTTCCTTCAGGTATCCAGGTCCCAAGCCGTTAAGGGCTTTATAGTAATAACCAGCACGAGCAAGTTCCAGTAGTAATCCTAGCAAGATTCCCATACAGGCCTTTGTCCTGCAGTTCTAACTTCAGGGATCCGCCTTTAAACAAGACTGAATCCCTGTGTTTTCTGAAGTGTATATCATATGCACCCAACGTGCTTTCAGTGTGAGCTGGAAGAATTAAAACAGAAACAGGCTTTTTCACAGAGGATGTTGTGGGAATTGGCCTGTTTTTATGAAAACTGTGAAAACAAAACAAAAATGCTGGATCCTCCCAACTTCTTCCTGAGAATCCTTCTGCATTCTCCCAGCTCCTGCCTGAACAACTTACTCCCAGGGAGGAGCTGGGAGGTGGCAATCCACTCTATAGAGTTGTTAAAAGGTGTGTAACCCATCAAGGCAGGAAGAATTGCATGGAGTGATTGGCTGGATGGGTCTGCCCTGAGTACAGGGCAGTAAACCTCAACCAATTACCTCCCACTCCTTGCTTCTACTTGAGCCTAAGCCATGGAAGTCTCCTCTAGAGCAGGAGGCAGGGATACCACAAAATCCCCATCCTACCAAGTGTGCTTCAAGGCATGACTCCTCTTTGTGTAATGGAGAAATTTTGACAACCAAAGCAAGCCCAAATAAGCATGCAATCACAGCCATCGAAGAGATGTGTCTCATTTCTCCCTGCAGGGTCCCCGGGATACCACCTGGAGGATTGAGAGAGAAGGAGACAGGGAGCAAAGCAACCCCAATGGGCCTGATCATCTGTTGGGCTTATCATGGGTGCTTGGTATCTCACAGAAATCCACCTGGTGATTCACTGTGAAGTGGTGCCATAATGTGTGACCCTGTCCAGAGTTTACATGCAACTCTGATTTTTTTGTAAAGGGTCAGGATGACTGCATTGCACATAAAAAGTGTTAAGGGATCAGGTATGGACCTGGCTGAGATTGCATGTACGAGGCTGAGATTGTAATCCTCTGTACATGTACCTTTGATTCACTCTTGTTGAAATCAATGGGACTTACTTCTACCTTGGCATGTATAAGATTCCATTGTGAATCACGAGTTTCCATAGCAATCCTTTCCCCAGAAGTAGACTCTGAACCTAAAAACTCACCAAAAATCAATTTCACTAACCACCACAAAGTTGCTGAGTATTTTGCTAAAGCTCATCTCATGGGTTTTTCCATTATTTACACATTTTTATTTTGACTCCACAGGTACCAGTATGAAAACACCATTTCCTTAGCTGAAAATTCTTCAAGGATGTCTGTTTGCCTTGCAAATCAAAGCCAAGTTTCCACTCCTGCAGAGCAACCCTCAGACCGTGAGGTTCCTACTATATTCACAATCTTGTGTTCTATTTAACAGTGTCTGTAGCTTTTTTTGTGCCTGGCCTAGGCATGGGTGAAGGATTTCAGGAACCATGACTGAACAGCAGCAAGTGTCACCCGTGTGTAGGAGTAGGTGTGTGTAGGTCAGCTCTGCCTAGTCACCTTTGAGTCCTAAATACCTCAGTGGATCAGTACTGCAGGTCAGGAGTAGGGAGGGGAAGTTAATCCTTTCTCTTCCTTCTGACAACCAGCACCACCACAAGAATAAATCCACATCCTCTGGAAGAAAATGGAATTTCCTTTTCAGCTGATGGAGGATCCCCTTGAAATATGAGTAGTACTTTCAAAGATGCATAAAGAATCAAATCTTTCTTCCTTCATCAAGGAAAAATACCGTTGGTTGCATTTGGGGTCATTTTGGACCCCAGATGAAAGAAACTGTTCCAGCTGAAATTTCCCCTCAGGAGTTTCAGTCAGCATACATATGGTTTTCAGTTCCCAGTCAGTACAGGTAATTTCAGATTTAATTCTTCCTGAGGCTATGCAAAACAAAACCAAACCAAATCTGTACAGCAATACTTGGCTCACTGACCTTTTCTTTGCATAACAATAGTTTGACCTACTAATTTTCAAAAATTATAGCAAAGCTTTCTCCCAGTGAATTTCAATTCTGTTTGCTGGAGGTTTTAGCTAAGAAGCTTAGCTTTCAAAAGAGACTAAGATCATCTGTACTAAACCTTCTTTTGTTCATTTGTTTGGAGTATAAAAGTACCCATACAACTGTTCTGATAGAATTTCTGGGATACTTTTCATTTATAGAAAAGCAAGCATGCAAACAAGCAAGCATACAAGGCTGGAGGCTGAAATTTGGAGATATTTTAGACTTGGTACTTTGTGACAATGTCCTAGGAGGTCAAATCGGTAGGACTACTTATGTGTAAATTACAGTAGAGAATGTGAGCTGGGAGATGCCAATTATTCCACAATAGCAGAATGAGAGACTTCCGTGACTATCTGCATAACCATGCCCTTCTATTACAACTACATAAAAATGCACATGGATTTCATTTAGGTGACCAGCTGTTTCATCAAGTGCAGACCTCAAAATATGGCTGGTAGCCTTCCAGTCTTCTGGAACATTACAGCAGCTAAGTCAGTTGAGGTCATGCTAAAAGTGATCTTTCAGCTCTCCTTTAAAGGCCCGAAAACTTCATAGCTTGGAAGATGCAGGGAAAGTTAGCATAGCATGCCATGAATTACGAGTCTTTTTTTCTTCTCAAGCCAGCTCAGGTTCATATAACATTCCCTGCAAATCTATAGTATTTCAACAACCCTGAAAGGGAAGCATTAAAGTATTTAATTACCCATGAAATCTTCCATGAGGATGTTACTGGGATTGTATTTGGTTTATTTTTTGCTTGGTTCTTTTCTTCCCAGAATGTAAAAAACAGTCTGGATCCTCAATGTGGGTGTTTCTGCTGGTAGGAAACATCATCCGAGGAGTGGGTGAGACACCCATAACTCCTTTGGGTATTTCATACGTGGAGGACTTTGCACAAACAGAAAATTCTCCTTTCTACATTGGTAAGCTTGCAAATAATAAGCAAACTTAGTATGACCTGTTGCCTTAAAAACAAACAAGCAACCAAGTTCTTCTAAACAATCAGAGTGTGATTCTATACATATTTATCTCTGAGTAAGGCTATGGTTTTTCCAGTTGCAATGTATGGCTGTGAAAGTTGGACCATAAGGAAGGCAGAGCACTGAAGGATTGAGGTCTTTGAATGGTGGTGCTGGAGGAGACGCCTGTGAGTCCCTTGGACTGCAAGGAGATCAAACTGGTCAGTCCTAGAGGAGATCAACCCCGACTGCTCTTTAGAAGGCCAGATACTGAAGGTGAAACTCAAATACTTTGGCCTTCTAATGAGAAGGAAGGACTCACTGGAGAAGAGCCTAATGCTGGGAACAACAGATGGCAAAAGAAGAAGGGGACGGCAGAGAATGACGTGGCTAGATGGAGTCACTGAAGCAGTCGGCGTGAGCTTGAGTGGACTCTGGGGGATGGTGGAGGACAGGAAGGCCTGGAGGAATGTTGTCCATGGGGTCGCCAAGGGTCAGACACAACTTCGCAACTAGCAACAACAACAAAACACAAACTCATTGTTTTCAGTGTATTTATTTCCAGGTCATCATGCATAGGAATTCAGCCTCAGTCTGCTATCCTTTATATGTTTAGATGGGAAAATTTGCATGGATGCATATTTAGACAGAAGAAAAAATGTGCATGTTTAGAAAGAAAAAAGTTGGTCTTTTTTCTGTCTAACCATTCATACAATTGCACTCCTCATTTCTCTTCATGGTGCTTGATTCCATTGCTGCTTGTTCAACCCCATTAATGCATCTAAATAAATAAGTAAATACAGGATGATAGTTGCAATAGAGACGATGGCCCTCTTTCTCCTGGTGCATTTGCATTATTCCAGGATAGCACAGCTCCATCAGAGTTGGGTCGTGCAAAAGCAGGAAAGGAAGAAGTTTGAGTGTATGGAACAGGTCTCAGTGCTGCATCACAACCCAAAGTAGACACAGCGATTAACAACTTGGTGTGGAAAAGCTTCTTATTGGGTTCTCTTGGCTGCAGGAAGGGGTCAAAGCTCAGTATGACAGACCACATGCTTGGCACACTGAACGTTTCAGGTCTGGTGCTCTATGTGTCCAGGTAGGGCGAGGAAAGGATCCTTCCTGGATCCCTGAGAAGCGTCTACCAATCACTGCCATCACTACTGGACCATTGGTCTGACGAATCAGGAGAGCACTTCCTGATGTGCCCTGCCTCACTTAGGACTTTCTCCTAAAAATGTTTGCAAACCCTGGGATTTCCCTGTCCTTGATCATATCTCCTTGCTGTTCTTTTGGTGACATAAGCAACAGTGCTAAAAGGACGACAGCTGAATTAGAATATAGGATGACTTTTCCCAAGCTGGTGCTTTCTGGATATGTTGAACTACAGCTCCCATAATCCAAAGCAGCTGGCCTGGGTGATGGAGCTTGCAGTTCAATGTATCCGGTGGTGCCAGGGCAGGGTTCGCTGATTCAGGATATGATGTGGAAGCCAACCACAACCGTTTGATTTTGATATGATTCCCTGAGAAGCTGAAGAACAAGTCTTGGAGAAGCAGCAGCAAGAAATAGGAAAATAACTGGTTTTCTATGCTTTTATCTTTCACCCTCCTCTAGGCTGCCTGCAGATAGCAACTGTCTTGGGTCCTTTGTTTGGTTTAATGATTGGTTCCTATTGTGCCCAGCTGTATGTGGATGTTGGATTCATAGACCCAGGTAATGCACAGAAGTAGCTAGTGCCCACTGGGGTTGGTGGGACAGAGGGCAAGATCACAACCAAGGTCTGCAATCATTGTGGGCTTTTAAAAAGTCCAAGTGGCCACAATGACCCAGACAGTCCACAGGCTTTTCTGTCATGTTTGCTTCTGTTGCTGTTATTATTGTGTTTCTTTTGTCTCAATCTGTTTTATTATGTGTTTAATTGTTATTCACTGCTTTGGAAGGACTCTTGCCTGGAAAAGTGGCCATGGAATATTTAGATGAATAAATTCTGCAGTTAAAATAGTCAAGATGTATAGGCATGATTGCAAAGAGATCAAATCAGTCAATCCTAAAGGAAATCGACCCTGGCTGTGCTTTAGAAGGTCAGGTACTAAAGCTGAAGCGCAAATGTTTTGGCTACCTAAAGAAGAAGAAAGGACTCATTGGAAAAGACCCTGATGCTGGGAAGCATTGAAGGCAGAAGGGGACGGCAGAGGTTGAGGTGGCTGGATGGGGTCACGGGGAGGTGGGTGTGGGGTTGGGTGGACTCTGGGGGATGATGGAGGACAGGAGAACCTGGAGGAATGTTGTCCATGGGGTCACGAAGGGTCGGGCATGACTTTGTAACTGAACAACAACAACATAGGCATTGATCCTCAAAAATGAATTACACATTTATGTTAGAGTTTAGTTGCTATGATGGCAACGGTCAGCTATTGTTGAGTTGTGGTTAAGTGCCCTTAAGTCATCTCCAACTTACGGTGACCCTATGAATGAGCACCTTCCAAGATGTCCTATCCTTGGCAGCCCTGCTCAGTTCTTGTGCATGCAAGAGGTGGCTTCCTTTATGGAATCCATCCATCTCATATCAGGTCTTCTTCTTTTGCATTTGCCGTTCCCTAGCATGACCGTCTTCTGCAGGAAGTCTTGCCTTCATGTGACATGCCCAAAGTATGACAGCCTCAGTTTTGTCAGTGTTACTTTTAGGGAAAACTGACTTATTTTATCTAGGACTCCCCTGTTTGTCTTGCTGTCAGTCCGAGCTATTTGCATAACTCTCCTCCAGCACCACGTTTCAAAAGCATCCATTTTCTTCCTGTCGGCTTTCTTCACTGACTGGCTTTCACAGCCATATGCAGTGCTCAGGAATTCAGTAGTGCAGATGGTCTTGGCTTTAGTCTCCAGTGAAATGCGCTGGCACCTGGTGATCTTTTCCAGTTCCTTCACTGCAGCCCTTCCAAGTCTCAGACTTTCTCTCACATTTAGCTGCAGTTTGCCTTTCAATCCGTAATTGACCCAAGTTATGAAAAATCATTCACAATGTCGATTCCTTTATTGTTGACAGCAAAGCTGTGTATTTCTTCTGTAGCTGTGATTTTTGTTTTCTTGATGCATTCACTTTCTGATAGCATGATACCTTGTGGGTCTTTCAGCATGCCTAATCTACATTTGAACTTCTCTTTGATTTCTTGGATCTTCTGGAAGAGGTCTCTTGTTTTTCCACTTTTGTTGCTGTCTTCTGTTTCTTTGCATGGGCCATTGTAATAGCTCTTTTTGTCTCTGCTTGATAGTTGCTAAAAAGTTGCATTCAAGATTCTGACCTTATTACTGCCATCTTTTCCTTTTTCCTTCTTGCTTGTCCTTAGCAACTGTGTTTCTTCCACCATCCATCTAGGTGCTTTCTTCCTTTTTCTTCAGGTATTGTATTCTTCCTTTAAAATGGCTCTGGTTTCAGTCCTTCGTTCTTTGGTGCTCATGGTCAGCTCAGTTCAGTAATGCATGTCTGTTCTTCATGAGAACTTCAGATTCCCCATGAATGTTACTGCAGATGGATTTTGGCACTGTGCTTCTGTTAGTGAGCTTTTTCAGCTGTATTCTGATTTTTGAGATGCATCGTTCATGGTCACTTCCATACTCTGCTCCTTGGTAAAAAGGATACAATTTCTGAGGATGTTGTGCGCAGTGGCAGTGACCCAAATAACTTGTGGGTAGAATGACTTTCAGCACACAGACCCAATCATGTCCTCAGAGGCTTCTCTGTTTTAACCCTTTCCCTGTCCTTTTTCTTGCAAAAATTACGCTATTAGTTTCTCTCAGCATGATGCACCTGAGGAAGGATGCTATGCATAGAGTTCTTCTTTTGGTGCATCATGGGGTTTGATGGCCTTGATGTGGGTCTCCAAGCTGAGTCAAGGGAGAGGCTGAAGCCTCTTTCCTGGTTCCAGAGGAGGTGCTTGCAAAATAAAGAACTTGCTTTGCAAAAATACTAGCAGGAAGATTTTCTATCTTGCAAGCAAGAGGTCATTAATACCGTTAAGGAGCAATAACAAAGAACAATGTGAAATGTAAGACTCTTTTAAACTTTTGGCACACCTTTATCTTGTAGTTAAAATCTTTAATGTTTTAACTACAGATGTGACTTGCTTCTTTTGCTTACCTAGAATGGCAAACAATATGTATGTTCTGGAACACTTATCTTTCTGGTTAGAACACAAAGAATATTTGCATTTCCTGGTGTCCATTTCATTTTGATGAAATAGGACACTTTGTAACTTTTTCTGCACCTACTGGGCACCTTGACCATTTATATTCTTTAACATTTTCTTCCGGCTTAAACTTTCTTGTTAACCCTTGTTTTCAGCTTTGTAGCTAATCTTTTCCTCAACAGCCTGACACAGCTACCATAGGAAAGAGGCAGGAAAAAATGTTTAAGAAAAGAAAGAAAAGAGGAGATGTTCCACCCACAAATAGGCCCTTCTGATTCTGTCTCTGAGTGCTGTGAAATTTTTTAAAAGGAAATATTGTACATTTTTCTCCCCAGTGCCCATACCTTTCACCTCCCTCCTTCTGTGTATATCCTGAAAATGATCTCCTGGGAATATTTGGTGCAGCTTCACCCTGAGAATTCCTGATAGCATTCTTCAAGTACTTGAAGGGTTGTCACAAAGAGGAAGGCCAGGGTCTCTTCTCCATCATCCCAGGATGCAGGGCATGGAATAATGGGCCTGAGGGACAGGAAGCCAGGTTTCAGCTGAACATCAGGGGGAACTTCTGACTGTTAGAGCATTAGGTCAATGGAAGTCGTGACCTAGGGAGGTCGTGGGCTCTCTCACACTGGAGGCATTCAAGATGCGACTGGACAGCCATCTGAGAGGGATGTTCAACTGGGAGCCCTGCAGTGAGCAGGAGGTTGGACCTGATGGCCCTTTGATGGCCCTTCCAGTTCTACTCTGTGACTCTGTGATAGCTTGGGTCTACCAAGACCTGGTGTTTCCAGATGTAGAGGTCCTTGAGGTAACAATCAGACAACACTTGGCTGCTGTTCCAACTTTTCTCCTTAATGGATTTTTGATGGAGTGAGGCCTCCAAACATTCCATGGATGAGGCAGGGTAAAGGTGTAATGAACCTTTGTTGGGAAGCGCCCATGGTTCTCTCCTTTTATTTCTCTCCAGAGGATGTGATGTTGAGCCTCACAGATGCCCGTTGGGTTGGGGCTTGGTGGCTGGGGATCTTGATATGCGCTGCTGTGAATCTCCTGGTTGCCATCCCGTTCTGCTTCCTGCCCAAGACTCTTCCAAAGGAAGGAGAGGAAAATGCCGTCAGCCCAGCAGCCAAGAAACAAGATAAGAAGTTGCTCCAAGCAGGAAGTGCAGGCCATGCCAAAGTGAAAATGCGTGAAATCGCCAAAGGTGAGCAGTAACATTTTTGGAAGGGAAGGGAAGATTCTTGGAATACTCTTTTCTTCAGTATTAGGAGAATCATTCTAATGGTAAGAGCTGCTTGACAGTAGAACAAAGTGCCTTTGGTTAGAGAAATGGAATCTCATTTAGGGTTGAAATATATAGTATTTGTAGAGAGAATAAGATTTTGAACTCAGTATGTCTAAAGTCTTTGGAATAATCATTTGTTTAGATTGTAGGAAACAATAAAAATGTTGAAACAGGACAGTAGAAGAAAGTGCCTCAAGGTGGGGGATCAGCTGGGTTCTCCTTTGTTGGAAGCTGGATGGCCACTTCTCAGGAATGCTGCAATTGTGAGATTTCTTCAGGAGGCTGGGAGCAGATGGCCCCCAATTCCCTTCCTGTCCTAATATTGTATGTTTTTGCAAGAACAAAAGGTTCCTAAATGAGTACATGCACAATGAAGTCTGGCATGTCTAACTAAACTGTCCACGTCTCATCTTAAAGAGTGGGATATAAATCTAATCAATCAATCATTTTTTTACGCAATTGCGTTCCACTAGTTCCCACATCCTACTCACTACTTCAAGAGGCTTAGCAAAGAATTAATTAATTACATTTCAGTGCCTTCCTCACCCCCACTTCTTATGCCTTATCTTCATACTCTGTGCTTTGCACTTTTGATCCATCTGGGATACCAATATAGACTTTTGCACAGCAGGAAGAAAGGAGATCTCCACCAGAACGTTATGGCGTGTTTGGTCCCATCCACTACACCGTGTGTTGTACAAGTGTTCAGGGTTCCTCTCTTCAACTCAGAAATCCCAAGTGTCAGGGGAAGAATCTTATTTCCTGTAGGCAGAGGGGTCTTTTCCTTCTGATTGAAGGATTCAGAGACAGTAAGCAAACCTGAAATCTGTAGGACCGAACAAGAAAACATAAGATAGGTTACATGAGAGAAAAAGGCATGTCTATGTCCTCACTGCTGTTGGGAAACCGAGGAGGTATAGAAACATAGAAACAGAGCAAGTCAGAAGGGGTCTCCTGGGCCATCTAGTCTGACCCCCGGCTCCAGCCAGCTCCACTCATGACATGCCCACCATGTTCATGTCCAGCCTATCTTTGAACACCCTCACCGATGGGGCCTCAACCACCTCCCGTGGAAGCCCATTCCACACCCTCGGGGTCCTAACTGTCAGGAAGTACTTCCTGGCATCTAATGGACAACTGCTAGGATAGGCTGGAATGTAACATGTTTCATGGCTACCTGTGCATTTAGGTTGCTAGTAAAAGAAATCTACCTGTGCATTTAGGTAGCTAGTAAAAGAAATCTACCTGTGCATTTAGGTAGCTAGTATATGACATCCACCTGTGCATTTAGGTTGCTGCTGGTATATGAAATTGTTGACTATCAGTCATGCATTGATTTGGCTACATGCAGCTAAAATGGAGAACATGTACCCATCACAGATGATTTTCATGGATGGTTTCACAGGAGAGGTCCCTGCCTACCCCAGAGACAAGCTGCACTCTCTCTCTCTCTCTCTTTCCCTCTCAGGTATTTGCCTATCTAAATATCTCATTCAATAGAAGACACACAGTTCAACTTTTAAGAGGATTCTGACCCACTAACTGCCATGCATCCAGTGTGACGTGGTGGTCTTTCAGCAGTGTTTCCACCACCCCTCCTGTCATCAGAGTGAAGGTGGTGTAGCAAGATGCGTGCTGAACAATTGTGTTTTGATCTTAAGCTTTGACAGAGATGGTGGGTCAGCAGATACAGACAGGCGGAAGCGAACAGAAATCAGCTTCCTACAGGCACAGCCGCCCCTGCGGTAGCGGATGGGCTGCAAGGGAGTTGGTGTGAACGGCTCTGTTCTGTGTTTTCCAGATTTTGTCCCCTACTTGAAAAGTCTCTTCCACAACCAGGTCTACATGCTGTTCTTATGCATCACTGTGATCCAGTTCAGTGCTTGGATTGGGATGATTACATTTATGCCAAAATACCTGGAGCAGCAGTATGGGATTTCAGCATCAGATGCTATTTTTCTAATAGGTAAATAGGAGAGATTGTCCGAATGGCTATGAATTGCCAGCCCCTGCTGTACTTGCTTTCATGACATGTTTTCATATGCTTTATCTTTCATATGTTTATGTTTTTATATCATGCTTTATCATGCTCCATTGGTGGTTTCTAACTTTGCGTACAGGCCAGTGAATTTGTGCCAGTGTAGCGGTGAGACGGTTAGACTGGGGGCCAGGAAGACCCAAGTTTTAGTCCCCTCTTGGCCATGAAGCTCTTTGCGTGACTTCTGGCCAGTCAGGGATCTCAGCCTGATCTCACAAGGATGGAGGAGAATTATGTTAGCTGCCTGGAGAGCCTTGCAAGAAGAAAAACTTGCAATGAAATGATGATGATATAGCATGAAAGGGAAGGAAATGTTTGTCTACGAGTACAAAAATCCAAGGTGGACCTTTGGTTTTGTAAAGTGCAGGAAAGACAGGACTGCCACCAAAAATAGCATCCCTATATTGGTTTCTTCTGTCCTGGATATTTAATGAAAGATGCTTCTGTCCCTACATTCGCAGTCTTGTTCCTTTCCTCCCTCGCCACCCACACATAAAATTCAAATAGTTTTGCATGTCCCTGCAACATGCTGGGAAACGACCAAACGGATCTGGGGCTTCTTTTCCATCTTTTGATCATCTTAGCCATTTTATGTAGTCTATTGATTTATCCTACCTCTCAGTCCAGACATTGTATTTAAAATAATAACATGCAACAGCAGCGGAACCGTCTCCTCCCTCCTTCACATGGTGACATCATACGAGACATCCTCTCCTGCTGAGTCCCAGTTCTTGTCGGGCTGTTCTAAGTTGTGTGATCAGATTGTTGGCTCCCACCTGCAAAAGATTCCAGGTCTTTTTGCTGTTCAGACATGAGGCGGGAGAAGCAAAGACCAAATTCACATATGAATTCGTTCATTTATTTTTTTGACATAACCTGTGATGTTCAGGATTTCAACATAACCCTCTACAGATGCATCTCAGGGTTATCACTGGTTATACGTTCAGTTGCCCCCTGCCTCCAATTTGTAATGACATGTGAATCTCTGCAACAATATCAGCATGTGGCATTCTCCCGTTTGTTTGCTTTCCTCTCTAGGTGTGTACAATTTGCCCATTATATGTCTTGGATATCTTTTTGGAGGCCTCATGATGAAGAAGTTCAAGATAAGCACCTACAAAGCTGCCCACATAGGATTCTGGAGTTCTCTAATTGAGTATCTCATATACTTCTCTGCTTTTTTCATGATTTGCAAGAATGCTTCAGTTGCTGGCTTAACAGTCTCCTATGAAGGGTACTTGCCAATCCAATCTTGCCCTTATACTCCCCTTATGGGCTGGTTGCCAGATTTGAGGGTGTGTGTTTATTTTCAAGGGATAATGATCTTTCATCCCTCCTATTAATTTAATTTAATTGTTTGCCTGTTGGAGACTGGCTTCCTTCAGCCCACACACCTCCTGCCCTTCCTGTGAAATGGTCAAAGCACTTAGTGCATGCACTAAATAAAGGGGATCCCACTGTGGAGGTAGCAAAGGAGATTCTTCTCCCTGTCTCCATGCCAACAGGACAGACTGGTGACTCCTATATTGGTGGGGCTCCATGGTGATGAAGTTATTTGGAGGGTGTGGTTCAGCACTATGGAGAGCTCTTAAAACGCTGAAAATAAAAGCTGCAATGACTGAGGAACCCCTAGGACGTGGGACACACCAACCTCCCCTGTCTTCAGGAAGCTTCCAGGCCTGAAGTGGGGCTTAGGGGAGGGGAGTGGCTTGGAAAGGGGAATGGGTGAGACCCATGGAGGGAAGCCGAGCCTCTGTGGGGCAGGTGGGAACCTAGGTCCTCAGGCTTGAAGTTTCCCATTCCTGGTGGACGGGATACTCAGAATACACCAGTACACTCATTTTTGTGCTGCTGTAACCTGGAGGAAGCCTCTATTTCACAGCAGACCATAGGGCAGCTTTTCACCACTTGCAGGGCCTTTCTCAAGTTTCCATGCCTTTTTCAGGAGAGATCAAATCACCTATGGGGAAGCAAACTTGTACTCTGAATGCAACCGCGGTTGCAGCTGCTCAACCAAGCTGTGGGACCCAGTTTGTGGTGATAACGGGATTGCGTATGTTTCAGCGTGTCTCGCTGGCTGTGAGCTCTCAAATGGAACTGGGAAACACACGGTAAGGCCCAAGTGCATTTCAGGAATTCCGAGGGTCAGCCTCGCTTAGCGATAACAAGGCACTGCTTTCTTGGCAGAAAGTCCGAGCTGGACTGCCAGTTAAAAGGAAGAGGTTGTGTCTGATGGGAAAGGCATTTGCCTGAGACCAAGTGAATCACTGCCATTCATAACTCCCAATGTTGGGAAGATGGTCTGACCTGATAGAAAGGTGCTATATTTTAAAAGGTGCAATCCATTGGGGATGTTTGTAAGCTTCCAAAACTGACAGGCATGCCAAGCAGGACAGGATGAGTGTGAGGAGAATCTTTGCCTGCTTGAAACATAAAACACAGTATAAAAGACAGCATGAAATTTCAAATAGTTAATGCAACAGTATAAAACTGAAAAGCAGAGTAAAAGCTAGAGAAGTACAAAAAATTTAAATGCAGTGTGGAATCTAGAAAGGTGTGAAACTAAAATTCCTAGGAGAATTCCCGGCACTGGAAAGAATGTTTAATTCATTTTTTAATTAAATTTTTATCCTGCCATTTTTCCTTTCAAGGATCTCAAGGCAGCTTACATTATCCTCCTTCTCTTTTCAATCTTATCCTTACAACAACAACCCTGTGAGGCAGGTTGTGCTGAGAATCTGTGGCTTGCCCAAAGATACCCAGGGAATGCCATGGCTGAGTGGGGACTAGAGCCCAGATCTCCTGAGTGCAAGTCCCACGCTCTTAACCACTTCACCTCACCTGCTGTCTCTGCCTCTGCCTCTGCCTCTCTGCCTTGTATAGTTTATTAATATAACATAAGTGCCAGGGAAAACTCCCTAGGCAGTTCATTCCATAGTCAGGGTGCCACAACAAAAAAGGCCCTCTTCACAGTAGACACTTATCTGTCTCCCCTTAGCAGGGGCTCCCTCAGAAGGACTACTGATTGTGCTTTTAGGGTCTGAGCAGATACATACATGAGGAAACAATCCTTCAGGTAACCTGCCCCAAGCTGTTTTCAAAGGCAGCCCCATGCATACTGCATTGCAGTAATCCAGCCGAGAGGCAACCAGAGAGTAGATGAAGGCCAACATAACCCGAATTAAGGGAGTGGGGATGCAAGCTACATTACTCACTAGTATAACATAGTAAAACATCCTTGAGTTTCTAACACCACTAATATTTCCAGTTGGATTTAGGTACGACTACTCATAATATGGCCTTAAATGAATCCAATTGGTCTTTTGGCAGGTCCTTGGAAACTGCTCCTGCATTTCAGGCCCAGAGTTCCCATCTGGAAATGGCTCTGCAGTCTTGGGCCACTGCAACCGAGAGGAGAAATGTGACACGATGCTGTTCTACTTCTTAATTTTGTCTTTAGTCTGCTGTTTAATTTATTCCTTTGGAGCCATCCCAGGGTACATGGTCTTAATAAGGTAATGAGCCTGCATGGGGAAGAGGGCAACTGTCCAGAAGAAAGAAAAGTCCTTGGTGCAGCAGTCGACTTAGAATGGTGCCTTTGTTTCCTTTGCCGATCATTAGAGTTTAGATTTCAGGACAAACCTCATCAGCTTAGTAAGAAGATCTTTCTGCTGGCCCTTCTGTTTTGGAGAAATGATTCACGCAGAAAATGGGTATTTCCTGTACCCTGGTTGGAGGATGTAGGGCAAAGCCAGGAGGGTGGATTGAGGAGTCTCTTCGGTGGGAAAAGGCCATGCCATGAATCCCTCCCGACACCATGGGAAGGGGGCCAACACAGGGAGGCAGATTCTGCAGGGGAAGATGAGCATTTACGGATGGCACTCCTTGAGTGTCCCTTGTGGGGGCCCATAAGTGGAAGAACGAGGAGCTGACCAATCACAGCGGTGGCCTCAGAGGGCCTCTTGTGGCCAGTGGGCTTGCTGCTTGGCCACCTGGTATACATCCTGTCGATGGGTACGGAGAGATCAGACTGTGAGAACAGCACATCTTCTGAGAAGCAGCCCTGCATTTGGAACATCAAAGTGACCAAAATAAAACATCAGTGACAAAATGCTGTATTTCAGCATGTTTCTGTGGATGAACACAGAGGGGACTGGAATTTTGAAAATGGTTTTGGTAGCTTCAAAGTCAGGGCCAATCCATACTTAGCATTTCTTTGTTTGATGTGCATGTAAGGTTGCCTTAAACACCCTTCCAAGCATGTAAAGTAGGGGTGGCCAGCATCGGTGGGAGCCACAAGTGGATTTCCTCCTCCAGAATCCGTCAGGAGGTGCAACCTCAACACCACCATCCTTGGGGTGGGGCAGCAGCAGAGGAGGCCATGAGGCGCCCGGTGAGCACACGTCACTCGGGGCTTCTGGGAGCACAAATCTTCTTAGGAAGACTCCTCATGTGCCTTTGCTTCGTTTGGCACTCAAAAACCAACGAGAGAGAGAGAAAAAATGGCATCTCACATCATATAGAAAAGCTTTTATTGTAAATGCTTTTATAGGCTCTGGAGACACCGTTTCACTCACTCTCATTGGCTTTTGAGCTACCTTCTCCTCTTGTTTCTTCATTCACCTCTTTGCCATGGCCACTCTGACAACAATTTCAGTTTTGGCAGGGCGCAGCAGCAGCCCCACCCCAATGGTCTGAGGGTGCATCTGGCCCACTCAGATGTGAAGGAAGAATGCCACGAACACATGTTTGCAAATGCATTTGTCAACCTGTTCCTGGAAAACTGAAAGTTCACAGGGCTGTGTGCACTGTACCTTGGACCTGTGTGACATCCATGATCCCGTGCCACTGCTTTCTGGAGTAGAAACTCCATCCTGCCACCTGCACATCTGGCTAAAATGGAAAAGGGCTTTTGTGTATCACATTGGTGGGGACTGTTGCTAGCCTGGGTCAGCCCCTAACCTCTCTTCCTGCACTCTTTCAATGAACCTCCTTAAAGACACACTCCGGATCGTCCATCTACAGTGGCCAATTAATGTATAGTCTCTGGCTTCTTGATGTGTCTCTTGCCCAGTTAAGCATAATGGACAGCAAATTGTAGTAAGTGGAGGCAATTCAACAGCAATGACACTTGAAGAGACAACTGTAGCAAATATCTCATTTGCTGATTTACTATAAAGAGCTCTTCTTCTTTTTCAGGTCCCTAAAGCCTGAGGAGAAGTCATTTGGCGTGGGCCTCCATGCCCTGACAGAAAGAGTTTTTGGTGAGCCTCTTTGCTATTTTGAACAGAGCTATGGGAACAAAGGAAGTGTTAGGCTTTTGTGTCCTCTGGAGTTTAACTTAGGGTACATAGAAACATAGAAACAGAGCAAGTCAGAAGGGGCGTCCCGGGCCATCTAGTCTGACCCCCAGCTCCAGCCGGCTCTGCTCATGGCATGCCTACCATGTGCATCTCTAGTCAATCCTTGAACACCCTCACTGAAGGCGCCTCAACGACCTCCCTTGGAAGCCCATTCCATACCCTCGGGGTCCTGACTGTCAGGAAGGGCTTCCTGGCATCCAAATTGAACCTGGGTTCCTGAGCTTGACTCCGTTGGAGTGCATCCTGCCCTCCTCTGCAGGGAAAATCAGGTTTCAACTCCCCCTCACATACCTCACAAAGAATTATTTCGTGGTTGCAGCAGTGGTAAAATAAATGCTCCCTTTCCATGTAGCTGGAATCCCGTCACCTATTTACTTTGGTGCTATGATCGACACGGCATGTTTGAAGTGGGGCACGAAGAGCTGTGGTGGGGAAGGAGCATGCCGGATATACGACTCTGACACCTACAGGTACCCCTGCGGGACCCCTCCCTCTGTCCCCGCTGTGCTGCAAAACTGGGGTAGGCAACCAGCTGCCAAATGCATTCACCTACAGCTCCCCCAGTCCCTGGCTCATGGCTCCATCAGCCAGTGTGGCGGGAGCAGCAGGCCAGAAGATCTGGAGGTTTCCACCTGTCCTGCTCCTCTTATCGCGCCTCAGGTGTACGGACTACCATTTCCCTCATCCCTGACCTGGTGTGAAGCGATGGGAGTAGGAGTGCAACCTCAGGAGGGCACCGGGTTTGCAGAAAGCTCTTCTGCAGAGGCGCATATGGTGGCCAGCATAACCTCACTTCGCCTCGTCCGGCTTTGCCTGCCCACCTCCAGCGGCAGGCCGGAAGGAACAGCACGGGAGGTGGCTTTTTGGAGAAAGGAATTTGGAGCAGATAACAGCAGGAGAAGCTAAAGTCCTTGGCGCTTTTCCTGCCCAACACTTTTCTGCTTCAAGCCATGCTGATCTTCCCTCCTGTAGGCCTTCAAAGACTCTTCTGAATCACAAAAATGCTAGCATGAAAATGCTTTGAAAGTTCATCTTAACCATGTTTCCTCCTGAACTTTTGCTGGCCATACCAGTTGTTGCTTTGGCCACCTCTGATCTGGTGGGGATTTCAGAGGGATCTCTTTGTTTGTGAAAAGAACGCAGGAGAGGGGTGTGAGCCACGGGGGTGAGCTGTGCCCACCTGCTGATCTGTCTGCCAGACCGACTCCCTGCGCCCACAGAAGGCTTGGCAACAGTGAGAATGGACTCCGTCCGGGTCTCCCCATTTCTGGCTAGAGCTGTTCCCTGTGTGAAGGGTCCCTCCTCACTTTTGCCAACTGTGACCAGCAAGGAGTGTGGTTGGTGGGTACTGGATTGACTGGGGTGAAGTTTGCTCATGGGATCCTGCAGCCCCTTCACACATGTTTTTAATTTCTGGAGGGTTTCATCTGAACATACAAGTGGTACTACATGTTACTCTACCCAGGAGTGTCACTGAAAATAAGTTCCATGGATGCAATGGAGCCTGGGGACACCCTGATGGATCTGATGCTTTGTGATTGCTCTTCGTGAAAGCCATTCCAATTGTGTTCCAGGTTGCTCTACCTTGGCTTACCGGCAGTGCTGCGGGGAGTGTCGTACATCCCATGTGTGTTTGTACTCCTCATTTTACGGAAACAGAGCCAGAATGTGACCAGTGAGAACATAGAGCTGGAAGTCCAAGAAGAAGGAAATGGACCCATTGAGCCAAAGGACTTATCAGAAGCTCAGACTTGTACAAATCTGCAGCATGAGAGAGTAGAGGCTCTCGATGGTGTGAATGTGGCCTTCACAAAAGACTGACCCAAGGGAAGGAGGTGTAGGCCATTAGAACTCATCTGTGTCACCTGTAGCAATCTTTCCAGAATATCTATACTTTGTAGTGCAGGGAGAAGTGGGTGATGAACTCTGATATGTTGGTAAAGCCGCAAATGATTTGATGCCCAGATGTTGCTGCAGGTGTTGTGTGTCATTTGAAGAGCTCTAGAAAAGAACAGGAGGGATACAAGGGGCTGTACCAGTTTTAAGCACATTAACACACACACATGCTGCAGGTTTTATACATATATAAAATTGTATGTCCTGCCCATCTTCCATGATGGAACTCAGGATCATAACAGATGGCATTGCCAGGTGATCTCCCATCCAGGCACTGATCTAGTTAACTAGAGGCCAGGTGGTATAGCCAGAGCAGACGTAGCAGGGCTGGGAGGGGTTCGAGTTCAGAGCTTTGTGACGGCTCCTCCTGGGCTCTCAGCTTCCCTGCGATAGAGAAGATACAGCCCCATTGCCAATGCTGACATAAGATTTGCCTGGCAGTCCAGTTCATTTCTTTCATGGAACAGGGAGATGGCATCTCCTTGTTCTTCACCTCAGACAGAAGAAGGTGTGATGTGCCAGTGTTATGTGTGCAGGGACTTTTGGGTGCGTGTGTGTGGTGGGGGGGGGTATTTGTTTGCTTTCTGCATGGAGGAGCAGGCAGTTGCATCAATTCTCACCTGTGCTATGAAATGCTCCAACTCACATCCTTAGAGGAAAGAGAGGCTGACTTAGAACATTCCTGCCCACTGCAGAGGAAGTCTGGTAGTGGCAGCTGACCCATGGAAATGCTTCTTCACAGTTATTGGTGGTTTTTAAAAATAAATGCTCGCCAGCGGTGATATTAAGGTGCTTAATGCATCCTGCACTAACCAACAATGCTGAGCAGGTGCATTATAGGAATTTAGAGAGAAAAGAGAACAAACCTGCCGACACCAAGTTGGCAGCCTTTGAAGGGGTGTTGGCCCAGGTGCACCAGCACCACTGTGCCCCCCCCCCCCCCCCAAACCCGGTAGCCCCCCCCACGGTTTCCCCCCCCCCCCCCCCTCCCCCCCCCCCCCCCCCCCCCCCCCCCCCCGCCACTGGAGATGCACAGGGACGCTCTGCCTGGCACCAAGAAGGGAAGTGCTGTGGAAGAGGCCACCACTCCGAGGGTGTGCGAGGAATCTGTTCTGTGCAGAAAATCCACAGGGTTCCTTGCTTCTGGCTTGCTGGACTCTGCTCCACTTTGCAGTGACCCAGTTGCTGATAAGCATGCGCAGGGCGCATGGTGCACTCTCCAGGAACTGAGTCCTATGCACTTGGAGGGATGGATTCTGGTAGGGCTCATCCCAACCCTTGATCAGCCTCAGTAGATTCTCTAAGGTTCTTGGGTCCTGGCATTTTCCCCGCCATTCCAAGGACTGCCACTGTTTGAACCTCGACATGCCATAACTAGGGATGTACAAATGTAGAATCCATTCTGTTTAATGGATGGTGAGCTACCTTTTATTCCATCATCCACTCATTGCTAGAAGTTTTGCAAGTTTTGCAAAAACGTGTTCATACCCGTTTGTGCCAATTTGCTTTCGGGAAAATTCACAATCCTAAAAACATGCCAATCCTCCAAAGGTGCAGTTTCACACTTTCTCCTGTGGAGGGAAAATGCATTTTTGTCTATTTTACATATTTTTCTATGACTACATTTATATAAAGTAAAAAATAATTGGCCACAGTCTGCACAGTTGGCACAACTTGGGAAAAGCAGGCCTCTTCTGCAATTTGCAGGTTGCATTCTGAGAAATTTGAGCCCATTTGTATCCTTTGTGCATTTTCCTAGGACCTCCTTATGTATAACCGAACCCAGAGTTCTGTGCTTGGTTGTCTCCACGCAAACATAGCTGAGGTGCCGCTTAATTCCTCTTAAGCGAGGGTTAAAAACCTCTTGTGTTTCTCCCTACTTTATTCACACCAAAGTAACCTGGGAAACTGGAAGGGGTGCAGTGCTTGGAAGTCCCACAGCGCAGAGAAACAACAAGCCTTTGTTAGTTAATCAGTGCATTTGAGTTTTTGTTCTTGTTCTTTTCATTTTGAGTTGCCAAGTATTTACAGGGCTTGTGTTGTGCAGAACATGGTGAGAACAGCTGAGTTGTGGAATGTTTGTGTAACATTTGAAAGCATGCTTCTGCATAGGTTATGGCCTGCCAAGCTTCTGGTTTCTGATTTCCTTCCCAACCCTCTCTTTTCGTAGTCAGCTTCCATCTTTCTCTTGGCCTGCAGGTTATTAGGCAGTCTGTGGGATAGAGCTGATTTGCTTTTTACTTTGCCCTTTTGTTCCTTCTCCACCATCTTTTCCCAACCCGTGTAAATACTGCCCAAAGCAGGCTCACGAGGAAGGTTCCCATTGTCTTGGGGAAGCCCCAAGGTTTATAAGGGTGTGGAAAACCTTTGGGGAAAGCCCCCCAAACGGGGGCTGGGGTATCCTATAAAGCAGTCCAGCCATAACTCCATGTCATGGGATCCTGATGGACTGAGAGAGAAAGAGAACTGGACGGGTGTGGATAATGTCGGAACGGCTAGTCAAGGAGGAAGAGGCACAGAAGTAAAAGGAGCAGGCAGAGCATCGCAATTTTTGGAGGAGTCACCTGGCTCTTACCGAGAAGGTATTTTAAATGGGTGGAAGTGAGAGCTGTTCACAGACATCAGTAAATCACAGATGGAAACATTGGTGGGGCTGGGTGCAAGTTTCTCCACGCTCCTTTCCTGAATGGAATAAAATTCTCAGAGTCAGGGAGTCCATGAGCACTTTCAGAACTGGTGGTGGTGGTTGTTCTTGAGGGTTGGTGGCTGGAAGTGGATGGGATGGGCGACCATAGAGGGACCCAGACCTCTCTTTTATTTGGTATAGATGCTAAAGGGTACCAATTTGGAGGTGAGGAGGGATGATTAGATTAGGGAAGAATTTTCTGTTCAAACTATATTTGAAAGCCAGCGTGGTGTGGTGATTAGAGTACTGGACTGGGACTCAGGAAATCTGAGTTCTAAACCCCACTCAGTCATAACTGGGTGACTTTGAGCCAGTTATTCCCTCTCAGCCCAGCCTACCTCACAGGGTTGTTGTGAGGATAAAATAAAATGGATGAGGACTAGGTAACCTTCCCTGGGTTTCTTGAAGGAAAAAGGCAAAATATCAATATAATAAATAAATATGCATTTTGAAAATCCTGGCTACTTCAAGCAGCCACTAGTCTGCCAGAAAGTGTTTGAAATGACAATATTTTGTTGTGGCAATAATAATCATCATCATAATTTGCAACAGGTCATAAAAACAATGCAACATAATACAGTAAAAAGTCATAAAATGTTATAAAATTAACTTAGCAAAAAAGTAAGACTAGCTAACAAAAATGAAGAATAATCTTGGGAAAAACATGTAAAAACATCTGGGTTGGGTAATTCCCTCAAGCTCGTGGAGATCCAAGGAGATCCTTAAAGCCTTGGCTGAAAGAGCTGACTTTACTTGGTGCAGAAAAGAAATGGGCAGTGCCCACAGATGGGGGCCACCACAGAGAAAGCCCTCCCCTTCCTTGCCACCCTCTGAGCTTGCTTTGAGTTGGCACTTGGAGGAAAGACTCAGAGGCTGAGCGTGCCGTTTCAGCGGACAGTGGTTGGGAGAGCCAGGTATTTCGGTCCCAAGCCATGCAAGCCTTTATAGGCTAAATCCCCACCTTGAACTGGGCTCAAAAGCATTCAAGGAGTCAGTGCAAGTGGGCCAGAACTGGTCTTATGGGATCAGACCTACAGGTCCTAGTTATGAACCTGGCTGCTTCGTTCTGCATGAGATGCAGTTTTTGAACAGTCTTCAAGGGGACTGCTGTGATCTAGTTTAGCGATTACCAGAGTGTGGATTATGGAAGCCAAGCTGTCCTCATCCAGACAGGGACATAGCTGGGCCTCCAGCCTGAGCTAGTAGAAGACACTCCGTGCCACTGAGGGCACCTGAGCCTCAAGTAGCAAAGATGGATCAAGAAGGACCCCCGAGCTTTAGGGGAATGTAGCCCCATCTAGAACGGGTTGAGCACCCTTCATTCAGTTGGTGAATCCCACCAACAGCATCGTGGTCTTGCCTGGGCCGAGCTGCAGTTTGTTAGCTCTCATCTTCCAGTCCGGTATTGAAGCCAGGCACTGGTTTAGCACAACCACAGCACCACCTGACTGGATGAGAAAGAGAAATAGAACTGCATGTCATCAGCACACTGATGGCAAACACAATCCAAAACTCTGGATAGCCCCATTCAGCAGTTTCATGTAGATGTTAGCATGGAGGACACACCAGAGCCCTGAGGAACACTATGCTGGGGAATCCACAAGGCTGAGCAGTGTTCCCCAAGGAGCACTTTCTGGTTAACGCCCTCCAGTTAGGAGTTGAACCACCACAAGACAGTAGCCCCTCTCTCAATTCAGGGAGTCTCCTTAGGAAGGTGCCATAGTCAATGGCATCAAGAGCCACTAAGAGCTCCAACAGCCTCCACAGGGTCACACTCCCCCTGCCTCTCCACTGGCATAGGTGTTATTATACATAGGTGTACAGGGGAACCTACACTGTTTCTGGGCCAAAACCCAGCCTGAGCCCCAGCTGAAATAGGTCCAGCTAATCACAGTCATCCAAGGGTGCCTGGAGTTGTTTGGCAACCCTCTCAAGAACCTTGCCCAGGAAAGCAACATTTGCTACCAGCCTATTTTTATGAAGGTCTTCCAGGTCACAGGAGGATTCCTGCAGGACGTCTGGTAGAAGAACACCCCCTCTCCCACGGAAGCCTGAATCAGCTCTCTGGCCCAGCCCATCATTCCTTTCTAGCTGGCTTGTGTCAGCAAAGAGGGGGAAGGTCCCAGCAGTAAGCTCATGGCATGAACCTGTTCGAACACAACATTCACATCCTCAAGCTATACCAACAGCATGTATCCAAGAAAACTGGATCAGGCTGTGCTCTGTGTATCCTCTTTGCTTCAACAGCTGTAATGCTGGGATCGAAGTCCTGGAGGATGCAGGTTATGTTCTTTCCTGGAACTGCCCAGGAAATGTATTCAGCCTCCTCCTCCTCCAGCCTCCAGTGGGTCTAAGCTGTC